GGTCTCTATATGGGATCCGAACCCTCGGCGGGAGCACCGCCATGCTCTCAAGCGCTGCACTCTACCGAGTGTGCCACCGGGCCGGCCCATGACATCCTAAATTTGATGGTTAAAGAATGGCTGCTGGTAGAAAAATAGGAATTGGGACTCCTTGCTTCCTTGTTCATGTGCAGCACTGTTGCTTTCTTAAGAGTGAAGAAGCTTTTATTCTTCTCTTCTAGGTGCCAGAGACAGGCATTTCATGACTCAGTGGCCAGGTTGCGTTATACCTGGTGTTGGTGTGGAAAAAAAAGAAAACACAAACAGGACTCTCCCTGGATTGAAGCAGAATGGCAGCTGGGGAGTTAAACCAGTGTTCTCTTTAGAATTGCATTGACTTTTTTAGTTTTAATGTGGGGAGGATTGGTATTTTCATAATATTTTGTTTTCCTGTCTGGAACAGGATACATTTCTACACTGGTATGTCTTTCAATATACCATTTTAATAGTGAGTATGCATACACATTTAGTTAGATTTATTTCTAAATGTTTTATGGCTTTTGTTACACTGTTTTGCATGACATTTTTTTTAATGTAATTTTCCTGTTGGGTTTTGCTTATTTGTATGTGAAAAACTATTGGTATTTCTTTGTAGCTCAATACCTTAAAATTTTTTAAAATTTTTTAAATTTTTATTCTTTTAGATTTTATTTTTTGGAATCTGTTTTTTCTCACTCAACTTAATAATGTAGTGAGTCTCATTAATTGGAATTTCTAATGTAAAAACCATTGCATTCCTGAGAAGCCATGTTGGCCATGGTGTGTTATTCCTGCTGCACAGCTGGATTCCATTATTTAATAATTTAGTGTTTCTACATTTGTGCTGTGAGATCATTTTTTTCTTGAGTTCTTCTATAGTTTTGATAGGAGCTGTGCTAGTAAAATGACTTGGGAAGCTTTCTGGATTTTTTCTGTGCCCTAGAAGCTCTTAAAGGTTTGCCTGGAAACAATTATGACTTGTAGCTTTTTGCTGGTAGATCTTTGGCTTCTTTTTAAAGATTTTCAGTGCTTTTGATTTCCATGTTTTCCACCTCATTTTGAGGTATTTTTCGTACTTTTCTCCTAGCTAATCCTCTGTTTAGTTTACATTTTAAATTTATTGTTATAAAGTTGTATGTACTTTTGGCTTATTTGTAAAATCTCTGGTTATGTACTTTTACACATTCTTTGATTTTTTTTTTCTTTTTTTAAAGAAAAACAGTATCTTCTCTCTTTTTCTTGGATATAGTTACCAGAAATTTGTTTCCCCGATGGCTTTTTCAAAGCTTGGTTTTTATTGATCAGCTTTACTGTGGCGTTGTTCACAAGGATGATGTTTTCCTTATTTAATTCACGTCTCATTTTTATCTTTAATAACTTTTTTCTTCTTAAGTTGAATCTGTTTTATTCTTTTTTTTTTTTTTTTTTTTCTTTTTCCC